CGAACAGAACTGTGAGCCGGCGTCCAGCATAACGGAAGCATTCAGAAAAGTGTCGTCAGCCATCAGCCATCAAGCCGACATTTCAAGGACGCTGCGGATTCACATCGGAGATGAGTACGCAAAAGACTATGTTGGCGCGATCGGCGCTCGCTGGGAAGCCCTTCACCTTGATCGAGAAGGCGGCTGGCCAGCATTAGGGAGCGATGTCAAAGTCGTCCAATCGCTTGAGGAGGCTGCCATGGTGGTAAATCTGATGGCTCACGAATATTTCGGTCAAGATGAAGATTAACAGCTTAGGGCCTTCAAGCCCTTGTATCTGTCAGTGGCTGAAGTGTATTCCCTCCTGAGAGGGAATTGCATCTAGATCCATTGGGCCGAAAAGGGAAGCATGTGATTCGAGTGTCCAGAGTGTCCAGGGTGTCCACATCAGCGGATCCGGAAGAGTTATCGCCCAATGAGATGATCCGGCAGTGACATGGATTCTGCAGCCTGCTTAGAGCTCGAGCTTCTCCATCGCATGATTGACATCACTTTCTGGTCAACGTTGATTTCCGAAATATTCTTTTCTCTGTGGCCTCGTCTCGCTCTTGTCACAAAAAACTGAAACGACTATCCGATGACTATGGCAAGTCACAAGGGCAAATTCGACCACCTTCCACTCGCCAACAAAGGACCGCTCAAAGTACCTCTCCACGGCCGCCTCCTTCTGGATAACCCTTTCTACAACAAAGGAACATGCTTCACGGCCCAAGAACGTCTGGACTTCGGCCTCAAGGGCCTCCTGCCGACCAATATCCAGACACTTGACGAACAGGTCACGCGAGCCTATCAGCAATACTGCAATCAACCAGATGATCTCTCCAAGAATACCTTCATGACCTCCATGGCCGAGCAGAATACCGTGCTCTACTATCGTCTGATTCAAGACCACCTGCGGGAAATGTTCAGTGTCATCTATACTCCGACAGAGGGCGATGCGATTGAGAACTACTCTCGAGTCTTCCGAAGGCCTGATGGTTGCTTTTTGAGCATCAAACATCCAGATGAGGTGGAGGAGCGCCTAAGCAAGTTTGTTAGAGAGGATGACCCTGAGGGAGGTGTCGACTACATCGTTGTTAGTGATGGGGAAGAGATCCTCGGGATCGGCGATCAAGGGGTTGGAGGCATCTTGATCAGTGTGGCCAAGCTGGCTCTGATGACCATCTGTGGCGGATTGCATCCGGACCGAACCCTTCCTGTAGTCCTCGACACCGGAACGGACAACGAAAAGTTGTTGAATGATGACCTCTATCTCGGCCATCGTTTCAGACGTGTCCGAGGCCAAAAGTATGACGACTTTTGCGACAAATTCGTCCACACAGCCAAAAAGCTCTATCCAAAAGCTTATGTCCATTTTGAGGATTTTGGTCTTCCCAATGCTCGAAGGCTGCTCGACAAATATCGGGGTGAGTTCACCGTTTTCAATGATGACATTCAAGGGACGGGATGTGTGACTCTAGCTGCGATTATGGCCGGGCTGCATATCAACGGAGTGAAGATGACGGACTTGAGAGTGGTTATTTTCGGTGCTGGGACTGCTGGTTGTGGAATCGCCGAGCAAGTTCAGGCGGCCATCGCCACGCAATCCGGGAAAAATAAGGAAGACGTTGCGAACCAGATATGGTAAGAGTTTCCTTATATCACGGAGGAGGAGCTGACTGTCCAAGGTGTGTCGATAAGCCAGGTCTGCTCCTCGACAACATGGTAGATACCCTCTCCGTCGCACAGAAACCTTTTGTGCGCAAAGCTTCCGAATGGCAAGGCAAAGACACCAGATCCCTCGAATCAATCATTGCCGAGGTCAAACCTCACGTCCTGATAGGGACGTCCACAGTCCCTGGCGCTTTCACAAAGGACGCAGTCAAAGAGATGGCAAAGCATGTCGAAAGGCCGATAATATTACCGCTCAGCAATCCTACACGTCTACACGAAGCCAAACCGGAAGATGTCATCGAGTGGACTGATGGCCGTGCTCTCGTTGCTACGGGCTCGCCATTTCCGCCTGTCAAGCACAGTGGTAAGGAGATCGAAGTGGCGGAATGCAACAACTCAGTCTGCTTCCCTGGGATCGGCTTGGGCGGCGTGTTATGTCGGACCAAACTGTTGTCGGATAAGATGCTCGTGGCGGCGGTGACTGCGCTAGCCAAGCAAGCTCCGGCCATGCGTCATCCAGAAAAAGCCCTTGTTCCAGGTGTCGAACAGGCCAGGCCAGTTAGCGTCAAGATTGCGATGGCAGTGATTCGATGTGCGGTGGAGGAGGGACTGGCGCAAGAGGTAGACATTCCTGTTGACTCTGATGAGGAATTACAAGAATGGGTAGAGGCACAGATGTGGGATCCGGTCTATCGTCCGTACGTGAGGGCTTGAGATGGAGAAGAATGTCCGTTCAGGATTTTGCGGGTGTGAAAAAGAATTGACCCCGTGCAAGAGAAATCGTGGGCTTGCAGTGGCTCCATTTAGCACTCCTAAACGCCAGCGGTCAAATAGAAGTTTATCTTCATTACACATTCGCGCTATACGCCGAATGCACATACAATTTGTCGTAGACTTGCGTTGGGGAATCTTGTTCTAGTTGAAGACTGTATTAAGTTCTGCTTTGAGAACTCCAATGATGCAAGTGTTGCAGAGGGATGTTTGATGTTGTCCTCACAGTTCGCCGCTGCGGATCACGGTCGAGTGGATCAAGAAGACTCTTTTTGAGCCACATGAGATGATCTCTAGCTTCCAGAGTATCGACATGATTATTCTATCCTGCGCGTGCCTGCAATATATCTCTGACGAGGAGGACAATCACTAACCAGAACTAAGGGGTCTAGGCAGGAAAACCTTGCCGTAATTTTGACTCTCTCTGACTGTAAAATGTCAACCCCAGGTCACTGCAGCGATATCAATGCTTCAAGCCGCTCGATCACGACATCATCGACCTCGAGATATCCGCTGGCTCTGGTTTCGGCTCGTCGACGGTTCGACCGTTCAAATGGCAGCCTCAGAGCATGGCCAGGAAGTGTTGGAGTAGTGTGGAAAGCAGTGATGAGGTTTCCCACCTCGCGTTTGAAATCAGCCATCGGCCTAAACTTTCCTGGATCGATGGCCATAATGAAGAACCCGAACTCTTCTAGATTTGGTGGCAGTGCAGGGGAACCAGCTAGAATCCCCAGCAGCTGGACCGCAATAGCCAAACCACTTCCTTTTGCACCGCCCCAAACCGCCAGAGCTCCCTTCAGCGCCTTCTCAGGATCGGTCGTCATTTCTCCGTTCTCGTCGTAGGCTGTATCTGGTGGCAATTGTTCGTTCTTGCGCATCGCCAGCATCACTTGCGCATGAATGATCCTGGAAGTCCCAATATCGTAGATGATGGGGACGCTATCAGTGGGGACCCCGATGCAGAACGGATTGGTGCCAACTAGAGGTTTGTATGTCCCCTGTGGGGCTACCCAGGGGCTGCAATTCGATGCGATGATAGTCACAAGGTCTTCGGCCGCAGCCATCTCAGCATAATACGACAGCATTCCGGTATAGTATGTGTTATTTGCTCCTACGGCTGACACCCCAGAAGCTTTGGCCTTTTCGATAGCCACTTTCGTCGCCTTGTGAGCCACCAGATAGCCGAGACTGTCCTTGCCATTGAGCTGGGCTGTCGTGGGCGATTCCAAGGTCACCTCGACGGAAGAAGACGCCGCCTTACCAGACAGTCTGTCGGCGATGCTCAGTATTCGTGCGAGCCCGGCTATTCCATAACCTCGCAGCTCGCTGTCAATCAGATGGTTACGAATGATGGCAATATCTTCTTCTTCGTACCCGAGCTCGCGCAAAGCACGGTCCGCCAGCTGTTGGGCTTCCTCAAAGGCGATTTTCATCTTGGATCGGCGGAGAACACAGGAAGGATCAAAAGAGCCACGGGGCTGGCAGCAGAGAGATGTCAGTCTCAAGATTAACAAGATTGTTTCGTGGCGAAGGGAAACCACAGTGTGCACATTCTGCGTCTGATGATCCGAGTTGGGGAAATTTGGAGAGCGAATGCTTCGGATCCGATGACGCCAATTTTTCAAGCCTGGTTTCACATTATCATTCTAACATACAAGTACTCCAAATCTCACCGTCCCCACCCGCTCTTGGGAAGTACGACAGCCGCTCTTCGAGGCATTCATGGCCCAATTGGTGCGAATTTGCTGCCATTTGAGCAGATACAATATTCTCAGCCACATTGACTAGCGCACATTCCTACCGGTATCGCAGCTCTATTCTGGGCTCCAAGCAGTCGGTTGTATGCCAGGGTATCTTGAATTGAAGCTCTTTATGGATTCCATTCCTTCTCTGCAGATGGAGCCACTGAGGCTGGAGCTTGTGACACCTTTGCCACGGCCATCATCAAAGGCGTCTGCAATTAAGCTGACCGCTGCAAGAACAAGAGCTGGAAGAACTATGCTGCGACGACGGCTGCGGCTTGTATGAAGGCTTCTCTTTAAGATTGGCCGCGGGTTGGCAAAGAAGACAAAACAGCTCCGCTCCATTGCATAGGCTTGGATGTGGTGGGAAAGAGTTCGGACGGGGCAGCGCTAGCAATATCAGACTATCAAAGGAATGTTTCACGCAAGGCTTTGCCTATTCTTTGCTATTATACTCTATACATGGTATAAAAGTAAACGTCTATGCCTTGTATTCGTGGTCGATGCCGCGCTGAACTTATTGAGCGCGTAAAGTAGGATGGCAAAAAATGGGAATACCGGCCCGTGGTCTTTCCTGATCGTTGACACCAAATCGATAAAGGGGACACCTGCAAATCAAGTAGAGGGAAGCGCATAGGCCAGAAGAGACCACAATGGAAGTGTTTGCGCTGGCTTCAAATCTTGCTCTCACAGCCGGAGAAGGTGGCACAAGGTGCACCGGCTATTTCTATGCTAATCCTCGGCGGGATGGGTTTTACACCGGATGGGAATCGTCGTAGCTCCTCCTTTCTTGAGTCAGTAGAATGGCGATAGATGTCCATGCCTGTTTTCCTTCCTGTTATCATCATTCTCAGCCTTGATAAGGTCCTCCAACGTGAGGGGGAAATAATCTGTTCTGAGATCTTCTCTCGCTTCTTCATCCAAGAGAGTAATATGGTCAGAAATTCCAGTCCGGTCGTCGTATGACCAGATGTTCATGTTTTCGTAGTTGTATTCTTCATCGTAAACTCCGTACAAGGGGAAGTTTTGAGAATAATAACGGTACTCTCCATCGTTTTTGACCTTCCACATCCTGCAGATGTTGTCTTGCATGTGAAAGCTGGCCACGCCCAGCCCTTCGTATGGTGGGGGACAACATCTCAAGGGGCCGGGCACTCGATAGGGCATATTTAGACTCTCATCATGCTCAGGGGCGTCCTTGTAGGTGGTGAATGGCTTATTCGTTTTCCACTGGCAGGTCTTCGCAGGGTTTTTACCTTCCGAATCCCATTGTGCACAGAAATCGGTCCATTTCGCGAGTGTAGCCTTAGCAAGCCTTTCACAGGTAGGTTCCAAATATGGGTAACATATATTGATCGTTCGGTTGACTAGATAATCACCCCAGCCGACGGGAATTGTGGCATAACAGCCTGCTGGTATGATACTTCGCGAGACTATTGAAGATGCAAGTGTCTCTGTAAGTTGACTGGACCTGGGAGAAGGTAGCGTCGCGCTTGTGAGGGAAGTGCTTAAATTGGTGAGGAGAAGGATCAGAGCCAACACGGTAACCATCCCGGGTTGAATTTTTGTAGTGGCAGGGATTTTTTACTGTGGTATGCAGCGCACTTATGGTTATCAACTCGGCGTCTGCCTGTGAATCGCTGGTTAGAGCGTTCTGAAATATATATGTATGCCCCAGCATATTCAAAGTTTTCCTTGACTTTATGTTGGGTTTTGTTTGTCGCCATTTGAGCGTCGAACCAATGGAACTTGTGGGTCATAATGCTCCGTGCCGAGTACATATCGGCATAGCCTTGTAGTGGCTCGTCCCGAGCCAGCCTGAAGGTCTCCTTCCTTCGAACCTCTCGCAACCTCTTGCTGGTTACAAGCCCTGCACCTGCAATCTGCCCAGCCCATCCTGATCCATGTCGCTTATTGCTTTTTCGCAGCTCGGGCTGATAAACTCCCTTACGAGGTCAGCTTGTAGGGCCGAAGGGAATATTTTTTCTTATGTCAAAGGGAGAGTAGTTTCGTCGGCTGCCCGAGAGAATCTCCCGCGATGGAATCCGGATGCCTGGATTCTCAAGTGAATGATATTCGACGAGGTGCTATTTACCAAAGTTTTCAGCAATCAGACTAAATACGTCGTTGCTAACAGCGGCCAACCTCCCCACTGTGTGACCCCTGCCCGATGGGCCAGGGTCGTTCAGCTCATGAACAGGTCGTACAAGATCCACGCCAACTTCAAGTACGGTGCCCCCAACATTCTCTTTCTTCGTGATCAGGTCGATCATTGTCTGCGCGACCTTCTCAGCAGGCACCCAGGCATCAGTCTCTTCGTCCATCCAGCCCAGTTTATCAGTCGTCCAGAGAGGGGTCTTGACGCAGCCAGGGGCCACAGCGTTCACTCGGATATTCAGTTTAGGCTCCAAGTCTGCCAAAGACCGAGTGAAACCCGACATGGCATGTTTGCTTGCCGCGTACATTGGCGTTGGCATGAGTGCAAGCTGCGCTGCGATTGAAGCCACGATGACCACGATTCCGTGACCAAGCTTCTGGCGGAGAAAATAGTCAATAGCTAGTTGGGTGGCTCGGATCGGATGGGTGACGTTGATCTCCAATGTCTGATATGATGAGGAGGCAATCGTGTCCTTTCCAGTGTTGAAATGCCAGAAGTTGGACCAGGGCTAGGTGCGGTCAGCAAACACCAGGTGCTGAGTTTGCCTTAGTGTTACGTACGGGCTCAAAGACGCCTGCTCCGGGGACGACAATGTCAAGTCTGCCAAATTCCTTCATGGTGAAGTCGAAACTGGCCTGCAACTGATCCCATTTTGTGACATCTGTTTTGATGAACTTGGCCTTCACTGGACCGGAGCTGGAGTGTCTGACCACCTCCTCGGCCTCTGGCCGCAATCCCAAGTCGACGACAACAACATTACTTCCTCCTTCCAACAATTTCTTGACAAGTTCCAAGCAGATGCCCGAGCCTCCACCGGTCACGAGTGCTGTTTTGCCTTGCAGATTTAAAGCCATGTCGTAAGCCTTAGAGGGAACTGCAAGTTGAAAGATTGCTTAGAAAACGCAAGGATTATGGATTTCATATGGAGAAGGAGGCAACATATTTATAGGTCAGGGAAATCAAGCGGAACCGCTCTCACGGACCAGTGCGACATAGACTTCCTCACACTTATGAACACGAAGCCATGTATCGCGTGAGATCTCACGGTTCCCATAGCTCAGGCCCAGGTCGGAGTGCACATATCTAAGTGACACTCTTCTTTAGGGGTGGTCGCGTCGTTCCACGTCGCAGTCCAGCAAATTGCTCCAGCCAGAGCTAAGCGAGCCCAACTGTTCTCTCGCACGCGGCATCGACTGCACAAGTCCCTGAACGAGACCTTAGTAGCAGCACAAAAATGAGGGGAATTGCGGCAGAACGGAACGAGGAATAGAAGCGGGGTTAACCTAATTGTATTCAGGGACAACGCCCTGAGACGTTTCGCGTTGTGCGTGAGAGACGCGGAGCAGGAAGTTGCCATCTCTACCTTATTTGTCGACGTCTAGCGAAGTACCAGAGATCTCTCGGGCAGACTTTGTCATGGTATCACAGAGGCTATGTCTTCTCGAAGTCAGCAGTGCTCGCCACTTTCGGTACAGACTCAGAAGGACGAAGTCGGTCGAGCTTGTTGAACTCGCTCTCATTCGATCTGGTTTTGTTACCAGTACGACCCTTGTAACGGAGTGAGCCGCGACTGGCCCGGCTGGCCGGGTCACTGGAGTAAATCCTCTAGATTATCTGATGACCTTCCAAACTCGTGATGGAGATTCAACTTGGGCGGGCAGCCTGCTTATAGGCGGGATAGCTTTTTTCATTTGTAAAAATGTCCTGGGAAGGGTTTCGAAGCGGTGGTTCATTTGTTGGATGCAACAGGAGGTTAACAGCAAGTTCTTCCTGGGAAAGCACACGTCAGAGAAACTCGCCGTGCTGGCCAATTCAAGACAAGCAGTGAGTGTGGATAATGTAGCCTCTTAGCTGCCATGTCCCCCCCGGTGTGGCGGTTCTCGGCGATATCTTCACAATGCAAGTCACCAAGCATGGAAACCCGCTTCAGAGGCATTTGCAAATCCTTAAGTGCTTGCAAAATCTGAGGAAACTCCCTTGACTAGGAGCTCTTTAGTTTCATGGAGCATTTTGAGGGTTCAGCCTGGCCGAAACCCCGCGAAACTATTTTCACCTCGCTCAATCTTCAAATAGAAAGCCGGTTGGGATGCGGCAAACGAACTACGCACAGGGTTGATTGCTCCAGCAAGCGAGGCGCTAGCTGAGGGCAAGGTTAATATGCTGCCGACCTGATGTGTAACAGTAACAGGCGTCAGTTCGGCGACTTTTCTTCTCAGATCGCCAGTGGCAAAAAGGTCGTGCAGGTACCTGACTTGGTAGATGATCATCGGAAGGCTACTACTTTTCAGTTGAAGACAGGCAAGTCCACCTGGAAGGTTATTGTTAAATGTGCAACAGTTCGGCCTTGGGGAAAAAAAACACCTTCCAGGAACACGTTGCCAGAGAAGATATTTCACCAATATAACAAATAGATTCCACTCACTTCGATATTCTCGGTAAGGCCAAACTGGTGGATCTGACACAAAGCCATCCACCCTCCCCCCGGATATCCATACAAAGCCCGATGTGGATTCCATATTATGTATCTTCCCGAGATCCCCGACAGTATTGTGGGTCAGACAGCGGGATTCTGCCCATTGTCGATGATTAAATCTCCCAGCCTTATCCGGACTTGGCCGTCATGAGAGAAGCATGAGATGCAAACGCTGACCTGCTCCGCCTAATATATCTACTTGTAAAAGAGAACATGACTGATTGAACTCCTGCTCCTGAAATCAACATGTGAATTTCAATATCTCATAATCCGATCTGCATTCCTCAGGTTCTTCCTTTGAACGTTCACGACATCGGTGGGTCAAAAGCATAACGAATACAGCACGTACACCCAGATTAATGGCTTAATGGATTAAGTCCTGACCACTATTTCAGATATACTCTGTGGGGTAGGTTTAACAGGAGACTTGCTAAACTATAGATATCTTGATCGGCAGGAGCCTGACCGGAGGATATCAGGTATGGATGGCTCGCGTTGGTAGCGGCAGGAGCCGGAGCTTTCTATTTTGCTAAAATATCAATCAACACCGAACGATCTTCGAAATTTGAAAGTGCGAGGCAGAGCAATGTGAGGCTTGCCCATGCAAGAGAGCCTGAGGTGCTAGAGAGACACGAGAAGAAGGAAGGCCAAAAGGCGTCGGAGGCTTGAAACAGGACAGTTGTCTGTAACAACCCGGGTTGATATTGCTTTATTACCCAGGTCAATCTAGGAGAATGTCAGAGAGTGAGTAATTGTAGTTTCTGATTTGTTCATCTTTCCTGCCGCGAAAAAGTCTCTGGGTGAGAAAAGATTGGACTTTCCGATCGGACAAATATGACCCTTGGTCCTTGGCAATCTTTTCCAATCTTCCATGACAAGTAACCGAGGAGATGAAGCAACTATGGCAAGTCTTGGGCCGTGGAAATACCGCAGCGAATTTACGAGTGATGAACGGCGAGTGGCGTGAAAGGAATGGAAAAAAGTGGCCATCCCCGGTGGTCGCCGACCAGTGATTTAACCAGATTATCCGATTCAGAACGAGGGATAACAACTGAGTAGTTTGTTCACATTCTACCAAGTACAATTATATCTCGCCTGAATCACCCTGAATCTGTTTCCAACAATTTGAAACAAAATCCATACTTGTTACACAACTCACAACTATAATAAAATGCTCTCAGATATTCTAAGGTCCACGGGAGCGGGCGCAGTTTTCGGTGTCGCCCTGACAATGTCGAGGGTCTACCACCCGTCGGTCATTATCAGCCAGATGCGACTGACTGATTTTCATATGCTTGAAGTTTTCCTGACAGCATGCGCAACCAGTGCGTAAGTGTGTGGGAATTTCGTTCGCAAGCTCGCAAGTCGCTGACATTCTCAGGATTGTTATGCTCTACTTTGAGAAATGCGGCATTTCAAAACGATGTGTTCGATCCAACTCGACTCTGAACTGGTTTTCCCCCTACGACGCGAATATCATTGGAGGTGCGCTCCTTGGAATCGGGATGAGTCTCACGGGTGCTTGTCCGGGCACGGCCATTGTCCAGCTGGCTCAGGGATTTCGATCAAGCGGACCAACGACACTTGGCCTTCTTCTAGGAGCTTCCTTTTTCCTCAAATTCGGAAAACTCCTAAAATGCAAGGAAGATCCTGAACACAAACCCCAGCAGCCTGGCGCCCAGACCATTGCATCGAAAACGCACGTTGAACCTGCAGTTATTTTCCTGACGTTTGACGCCTTTTGTTTCAGTGCCATCATCTTGTCAAGTCTGACACTACCCGGAAGATCCTTTGCCACCATTCCAACAGTGCTCGGAGGCGTCCTTCTAGCCGCCGCCCAAGGATTCTCAATCTATTTTACTGGCAACCCAGTCGGTGTCTCAGCGGCATATGAACATCTCGGGCGATACCTGCTGCATG